AATGCCACTGAACTGTACACTTCAAAATGGTCAATTCTATGTTATATGAATTTTTTTTGCCTACATTATGTGTTTTGCCTCAATTAAAAAAAATGTCAATAGTGCTAAGCTTGAGAAACCATTCTAAACTGTACCAAAGTTATTTTCTTCTTGAATGGGTAAAAGGCAGAGAGGATTGCATTAAAAAAAAAAAAAGCATGATCCTTAAATAGTTAGCTAAATAGTTAGCTCTTTTTTTTTCTAATGGAAAAGACTTGCCAGGAAAAAATAATGGCTGCTGTCAGGCCCAAGCAGATTTGTTTTACTGTTATAAAATTATGAAGCTAGATAAGGGTTTACAATAAATTGGTGACATCATCTAAACTGTAGAGGCATGAATATGCTACTGTAATAGAGACTCAGATTTAATATAGGCCAGAAAATGAAATAATTGTCTTTAAATGTGTGCTTTCACTTGAACTGTAAACCAGGGAGCTGTCAAATAAAATTAGGCACTACATTATGAGACAGTCACTTTACAAGGTTTGTCAGTTTGAACACTCATTCCCTGTTTGAAAATATGGAGCTGTATGCTCAGAATTAGAGTTTAGGATTGGTCTCAACTGAGCAGTAGTTCAGCAATGAATCAAAGGGCTTAGAAACTTACTGTGGTAGCTGTAAACCATCTTTCCCTTCATTAAATTTTGATAAGTGGAGGGGACATGTTGGGTTCATTGAACTAAAAGAGCCAAGCACATCCAGGGATGCAAAGGAATGATGCTGCTATGCTTTAATTAAAAAAAAAAAGACTAACTAGTACCTCTGTCACTGATTCTCTATAGCACAACAATATGTCCATGTATACTAGGACATCACGGGCATGTTACCACTAAGTATGGAAAATGAAGATGGAAACTGACTTTTCAGATTAAGTATTTATAGATCTAGGACTTCCTTCTAGGCTAGGTAAAAGATATTTCCAAAGACTAAATACTGAAAGAGGAGAAACAGGAAAAATGCTAAGGTACCTTTACATTTTTATTTTAGTTATTCTCCGCAAATAACACACGTCTGCTTGCGATCAATCAGCTATTCCAGATATCGTTTCCTATACAACAAAGCAAAATTTGTTTGAAGATTCATGGCTAAATGTTATTCTTATTTTGTAAAAGAGGAGTAGGAACATCTTGTGGTTTGCTGTTATTGAGAAAACATGATGAATTTCTTCCAGAAGTTTTTTTTAAAGTGAAGACAGTGAAGTTATGTATCAGTAATTGCATATTAGACTAATAAATACCATAAATTGCTGCTATAGCACTTAAAAGCACACAGTAAGAGAAGTGTGTTCTGACAGGAAAAAAATCAGATGGAAAATAGGTATGACTTAAAAATCAAATTCTGCTCACTGTAACAAAAACAAGAGTTTGCTTGGTGGAGTACTGAGACTTGTCATTTTATCGTGAATATACCAGCTATGCAGGGGGGTAATGTAAAGGTAGAATAAAGTTTTAATTTCCATCTCAAGATGATTACAGATAAATTTCTCTAGTATTAGGAACATATTTGGTGAGCCTATATGGACATACTTGTAAAATCCTCAAATTCTCTTCTTTGTGAAAATGTTAATTCTCTACTAAAATCTTATACATAATTTTATTTATACATGCTGTTCTTCTGTAACAGCATCTCCCCTTGTTGTCTCATACTATGCTGGCATTCCATGATGTATTGTATTCTTTGTGTTAAGAAAAACCACAAAGATAAAAACTTATCGATCAAGAAGGGTGAATTTCACCACAGAAATGGTATCTTAGGTCCCTTACTTTAGGCAGCTCCCACAGTGAGTTGTGCACAGCAAGTTTCTGAGTTGAATTATCTCGTTATCTAGCTTGGTGATTGCCCGTCAGTGCTGCTGCCTTTGAAGTACTGTAGCCATGACCACCGCTGCCCAGAGGATTTTGATATTTGAGGCACTCCACTATCTGATACACATGTGTTTTAGCTGTCAGCATAAATGGTGATGAACAATGAGCCATTTCTCTTTGCCTATCTGTCCAGTCCACTGTGCTGTGAGAAATATATGATCATCATCATAGTTCTTAGACAATATTTTCTTCTATACTTTTCACAGCATCAGACAGATCCTAAGTTTTAATCAACTTTAAACACTACTGCTGACTAAACGTATTCAGAACATGGTTTATTGGAAGAAAATAAAAACTGGATATGACATAAGGAGACAAAGGTTTGCCTTCTAAACTGAACTTTGGGTAAGACTCTCTCATGACCCTCAGTTTTATAAGATAATAATCTGTATTTACATCATGGGGTTCTCTTACCACTCAATTAAGATAATGTAGGAGAAATATCTATGAGTTATGAAATGCTGTACAGATACTTGTTAACAGCAAAATAAAGATACATTCTTAAGAGTACCAAATACTAAACCCTAACTCCGAACTCAGATATAGTAAATAGGATTTCAATGTCACATACAATGGACACTGTTGGTGGCCTAATGAAAAATTAAATACACAAATCTGTTCTCATCCTCTGCCACCATTTTTAAGACTTTGTTTATGAATTTTTTCATGTCACAAAAATAAAAGAATGAGGCGGGGAGGATATAGCTCAAGTGGTAGAGCGCGTTCTTAGCACGCACAAGGTCCTGGGTTCAATCGCCAGTACTTCCTCCAAAAGTAACTAAATAAATAAACCTAACTACCTCCCCTCAAGGAAAGAAATCTAACAAAACAAAACAAAAAAACTTTCATAAGAGATTTCGTGTATAAAGGACTCTTTCAGTTTTTAGATCTGATGGTCAAACAAGAATAATTCTTAAAAAATAAAAATAAAAGAATGATTCCTCTAACACATATTTATAATTTCTTCATTCAATATCAAAGAATATTAAAAGAAATTCACCTCAATTTAATTTCAATTTTTCACCCATACTGTATGGTTTCCTGGCTGTGTTCTTTGTTTTCATGGCTCCTTAATTAATGAGGCTAGTGCCATGTCTTTGTGATACTTTCCTCTGCTGTCCCTTTGTATGACACATTGAGCTGTGTTTGTGAGAATCTTTGCCAAATCCATTAAAAACTTCATTGTATACTGCCAGAAAAGAAAGAAAAAAGAGCACACAGTAGCATCTTTTTTTCCACTAACAGTGTCAGCAATTAACAAGTATAATCAGAAAAATGAAGCAAAGCTTAGAGAGTAAAGGATAGAATCTTTGAGATTCAGGATGTTAAGGACGTTTTTAAAGTGCTCAACACAGACAGTCAAAATGCTATTACAAGCTTCCTTGTGTTTGTAAAAGTAGCATTTTCTTCGAAGCACCTTCCTTATCTCATCTCCAGGTTGGAAACATGCCCATCTTTGCACAGTACATTACCATGCCCTGTCCTTTAGCAAGAACTCTATTAATTGCCTGACAACTTACACAAATACTTGCCGGGGCACCCATTAAAGTAAGCACCTAATGATCTCCTTGCTGATGATCTGATAACCATTCTGAAAAGGAACAGAAGAAACAGGAAGGTATGTGTTGCCCTATCTCAGTGCAGCTCTCTTCGCCGTATGATCAGGATAAAATCCAATAATCAGAACATTCTCCAAATCCACCGGAAGCTTGAGAGGAGGTGAGGATCAAGCCATGATGAGTTACTCTGGAAGCTTCTGGCGACAGATGACTTGGAGTTAGCACATGGCATGGATTAGTCCAGAACTTACCAGTTTTGTTTAATTTATTTATTTAAAAAAATTTCTAAACTATTAGAGATTGGTATCTTTTGTGAAGGTTGCGAAAGAACCAGAATCCCTGGGTAAGCTCTGGAGAAAACACACAAAAGCTAACTTGTCAAGGTTCAGGAAGATATTTTCCATCCATAATCCTTGGGGCTGCCTACCAGGGCCAAGAGTGACGTGGGGTGAGCGAGATGCCTAGAGCATAAAACATAAGGAAACACTCTCGGTCACATGTACAACCCTAGTCTCAGCCCTGCTGCCCACAGAAGCATCTCAAATAACTTCATTTTAACTATTAAAAGACAGAACCAATGTAGATATATTCAATAAGGACAGAAATGAGCAGATATCACCGCACTCTTCCATTGTATTTCAGAGTTCTCAACATGCTTTCATATGTATTATCACATTATGCCAAACACAATTTCCTGAGGCTAGTAGTGCAGAATGTCATTAATCCCAACTCAGATGAACACACAAGTTTCGGGGAGCACTAGAATTTCATCAACATAGTAGAGACAGAGCTTGAATTCAGGCCTCTGGCTCTATGTCCAGTATTCGTCTCATTATACCACACAACACCAAGCCTTCCTCTGAGGTCCTTCATAACATCAGATTTTATGGTCTACACTGATTAGAATTATTTATGAAGTCATTGCAGTGGCTGGTTATTAACAACTTAAGAAAGAAATGACCTTAAATTTGTCTATTTCTCACTGCCCATATAATAGCCTTATGAGAAAGGAAAAATAAACAGACAGAATTCATCTAATGGTTCTTAATGCCAGGCTTTAACATTTTAGGTGAAACCAAAACCATTTATAAGTCAACCTTACAGATTAATTTTTTACTACTATCATTGGTTGCATAGTACAGTCATATTTTTGTTTATGTTACCATCATAAACAACAAAGGCTTAGAAACCATTAGCAGCATATGGGTAACTTTGTTAAGAGTTGTAAAAAAGCTGTGATTAGGGCAGGTCTATACAGTATCAAGTTTGAGCCTTCTCTCCCTGTACTGGGAGATGTCCAGAAAAGAGCAGGGTTGGGGGGAGACTCTTTCCAGAGAGCAACATCAGATCTGATGCTCTTTCTCTGCATAGCCCTGCTTCAGACAAAACCTTTCTAACACTAACCAGAAAAGCAATTCAGGTGTCCACAAAACAAAACAAAACAAAAAAACAACTTTGAGTTGCGAATCTAATTTCCTGGACACAGTGGATTAATGTGGAGAGCATCTCAATTATTTAAAAGTGAAGGGAAACTTACTTCTCCCCATGTTTTCTTGTGGTCTCTGGTAGGTCCCTGGATGATGATTCCCTGTACAAAATACAGCACATACACACAGTCAGATTCACGTTCAATTAAAGCTGATGTGGTCAACATGAGCATTTCATTTCAGTGCATTCCAATCTTGCCCCCTTACATAAATGTTTTCTCCATCAGAAACAGACATCTAACCTCAGAGGACAGAAACACAGTATTCTGGAAGCACGGGCTCTGTATCAACTTAGTATGACCTTCTTTATCTGGCATTAGTTTCTGCAATTGCCAAATAAAAGCCATCAAATTGGTTACAGGGTTATCTCTTAGGAAGGCAGTGATATCAACAAAAAATGGTGGACAAAAATGCCAACAGGCCTAGTTTTAATAATGAGGCTAGCATGTTATTAGTTTGCCTATCCTGGTTTCTCTTCAATGTCACTCTGTGACAAATCCAATGCCCTTTATGGTGTAACATTTTCCTGAATGGTGTCAAACATCAAATTATCCCTGCGGCAAAGCAGCCCACAGAGTTATTACCAATAAACAGTGTGAATCAATAACTATGAACTACTGACAACAGAAACTTGGAGGAAAAAAAATCACATACCACAAATGCAGGTGTGCATGGAAGAGCAGCAATTCTGTTTCTTTTTGAAAATATACACACAGAAGCTAATTTATACCATAATGCTTCATTTTCTAATAGAGTTTAGTCATAGAACTACCACGAATTTATTGTTCACCTGCCACATTCCCATATGGAGCTCAGCAACAGAGAGGCAAAATTATAAGACATAATTTATTACTCCGTTAAGGAATATATAATCTACTTGAAGCCAGACATATAGGGGAGAGTGATGTCTTCAAGATGATCACACAGATCATTCCCAACTATAGTCCCCCTCATAAGAAGACCAACTAGCAACTATCTATAGAAAAGACTCCACTGTGAAAATCCCAGAACCTGGGGGTAATGCTGAAGCACCCTACTGGGCAACAGAGACTGAGCAGGACCACATTAGGAGGGTAAGAGGATGGGATACACTCTCACCATATGGTCCTCCTCCCTGGGGGTAGGAGAAGGATGTGGTTTCTGTAGTGGGAAAAGAGAGCCCAAGGTGGACACCCAACTCCCCCGGCATAGGGGAAACTTCTCAGGAGGACCACTCAGGTCTTGCCTCATAAAGATCATTGGAGGAATTTGCTGAACTTGACACTGGGGATCAGGTAGAGGTGGAGAAGGGGGGCGGGGCTCACAGCAAACAGTGTTGAGGTCTTGGCAGATGGCATTCCTGCTCGCAGCAGCGCTTGAGCAAAGATCGCAGCCCGCAGCTCTGGTCATCTGCAGAGCTGAGCAAGTGGCCCCTTCTGGCTAGGGAGCTTAGTTGGCAGTTCTACTTGATCTGGATCCCCAATCAATAGGCCACCCTAGCAGCACAGCCTATTCTACCACCCAGCCCAGGAAAGCAAGTTCTCAGCCCCGCCCAAGCGCTGAGCATAGCCTCCAGTCCTGCCTTCAAGGAGTCCTGGCCAGGGCACTAGAGCAGCCATAGGGCCCTCTTACAGCCTGTCTTGGTCAATGAGACAACCTAGAAGGCCTGACCCACTACTGAGTGTAGATTCTGGCTCTGCAAAACCAGACAGCTGAAACTGACCCTGGGCAACATGGGAGCCCAGCCTACGATACTGTGAGAGATGCAGAGCTCAGCCTACAATCCCACTCAGCCATGGAGCCCAGTCAACAACCCTGAAAAGCAGAGGAGCCCAGCCTATGGCCCTGCCCAACTGCTGAGCACAGCCTGTGGCCTTGCCCAGGCAGGAAGCCCAGCCAGTAACCCTGTCGGACAAAAGAGCACACTGAACAAGGAAGCCCAGCCAGCGACCGAGCCTACCAGCAGTTCACAGACTACTGATCAGGAACACCAGCATGTAGTCGTGTTCAGCTTCAGAAGGGCACCGTCTGCGGCCCCACCCAATTACAGAGGACCGCCTGAAGCCATGTCAAACCATTATGCCCTGCCGCAACACAAAACCCAGCCAGTGGTACCACCTGGTTTTGGGACACAGTCTGAGATTCCACACAGCAAGGGATGACTGCAGAACCCAACCCATAGCCCCACTCAATCATGGGACCCAACCAGTGGCACCACCCTACCAGGGAACACAGCCTGGGACTTCACCCAAATGCAGGTGATTGCAGAGCCCAGCTAGTGGTCCCACTTGACTGCTGAGCACAACCAGTAGCCCCACCTAAACAGAGAGATGGTCATCCAGTGGTCCTGTTTGAACATGGAACCCAGACAATAGGCCTAACCAACTGCAGAGCCCAGCCAGTGGCATCCCCCATCAACCTCAGAACACAGGTAATGGCCTTATCCAACTAGAGACCACAATAGCAAGCCTTGCCTGACTGTTGAGGCTATCAACTGACCTCTCCAGTAGTCCTAAGCAGTAATGACTGGTGAAGGTCTTTCCCTATTGAAGTAGACCTGTCAAGTCTGGAAGAGGAGACTGTTTAAATAAATGAACTGATACCAATGCAAGGAATCAAGCATTACAAAGAAATAGGTAAACATGACACCACCAAAAGAAACTGATAAAGCTCCAACAACTGACCCTAAGGAAATGGAAGTCTATCAACTGTCTGAAGAAGAACTCAGAATAATACTCTTAAAGAACTTCAATGAACTACAAGAACATAGACTAGACAAAATTAAGAAAACCATGCATGAACAAAAATGAGAAGTTCAAGAAAGAAAAAGAAACCATTGAAAAAACCCCAGAAATCTAAGAGGTGAAGAATGCAATGACTGAAGAATTTAAAAGAACAAAATGGAAATATCTACTAATAATTACTTTAAGTGTATTAAATACTCCAACCAAAAGACAGAATGGGTGTATGAATAAAAAACAAGATCCCAATGATATGCTGCCTAGAAGCGACTCACTTTAGCTTTAAGGACACATACAGAATGAAGGGATGGAAAAAGATATTCCAAGCAAATGGTAACCAAAATAAAGCAGGGATAGCTATACTTACATCAGACAAAGTAGACTTTAAGCTAAATATAATCACGAGAGGAAAGGAAGGTCATTATATAATGAAAAAGGGGTCAATTCATCAAGAAGATATAACAACTGTAAATGTTTACACATCTAACATTGGAGCACCTAAATATATAAAGCAAATACTAACACAAAGTGAGAAATAAACAGCAATACAATACACACGGAATATTATTCAGCTATAAGAAAAGGAAATTCTGCAACTTGTGACAACATGGATGAATCCTGAGAGCATTATGCTAAGCTAAATAAGTCAGACACTGAAAGACAAATACTGTATAATCTCATTTATATGTGGAATCTAAAAAAACCCAAAAATCATAAAAATAAAAAGCAGACTGGCGGTTGCTGGGGTTGGGGGCAGGAAGTGGTGGTGGTAATGGGAGAAGATGGTCAAAAAGTAAAACCTTTCAAATTTAAAGATGAATAAGCTCTAGGGATGGAATATACAACCTGATGACTATAGTTGGAAATAATTCTTGTATATTTGAAAGATGTTAAGCAAGTAGGTCTTAAAAGTTCTCAACACACTGCACAAAAAATTGTTATTACATGAGGTGAGGCAAGGGATCTATTAACTAACCTTACTGTGGAAATCATTTCACAATATATCTGTGTATCAAATCATCACATTGGTACACCTTACATTTATACGGTATCATGTATCAATTATGTATCAATAAAACTGGGAAACAAAAAAGTTAACTATATACGAAACAGAGACAATCAGGGAATAAACATGAGACTGAGACCTGATAATTAGTTATGTGACACTGGAAAATCATTTTCTATCTCATACTCCTTATAAAAGGAGGGGGCTGAACTAGATGACTGTTTCCCAAATTGATGTCCACAGGATGTTAAAAGGTGCATTATTCAAAAATAGGGCTCTGATCAAATAAATGTAAGAAATGTTGTCGTTAGGTTAAATAGGTTTCTTTATTATAAGATTTTTCAGAGCCTTAAAAATGCTAACAAGAAATGTGATAAAACTACAGTCTCTCAATGTATTTGGCTACATAATCCTTTTCTGTGGGCAATCAGTATTTCTTAGCAGTTCTATTCTTTGAAGCTCATTTTGGGAAACTGGACAAGATAACTGCTAAAGCCTCTTGCAGCTCCAGAATTTCATTACTAACAAGGTATTAATTGCATGGAACAAAGTTAACATAAAGTGAACCAAGAGAGAAGTCAAGGGGGCTCAATTCTCAGAGGATTTTAGAGCCAAAAGGAACTTGAGAAATCATCTAACAATTTCTAATCACCCCACCTTTTACCACTCTCAAAAAATCTTATGCACAACACCAGGATATCAAATGGGTTAGGGCTGAACTCTTCACGATGAACTGAGGTGGAGGCCTGTACTCCCACCCACTGGGATTTCTCCTTGAGGCGGCCTAGAAATACCCCATCAGAAAGCAGTTGGAAAACTAGTGAGCCCTGGCCCTTCAGATGAAGCCATTCTGGGAAGGCTTTAGGAAAGCGCTGGAACTCGCATATTCATGGGAAGGCCCTATACCCTTCCCAGGTATCATCTCAATTTTTTCACTGTCACCCCTCCAAGTCAGATAAATGAAGTAAGCATTATACAAAGAATTACAAAACCTTTCTCATTTCAGTAAAAATAGTAAGAAATTGTGTTAGGGGAACCACAAAGAAAAGGGCTGTCAGGCGTTGGCCAGGATTTTCAATGAGGACTTGCCCCTCCAGAGGTCAACATGGAAAGAACAGACTTCAGAGGCAGCTCTCTTCCAGGGGAAGATGAAACCAAGGAGGCAAAGATCAATATGACCTGGCAGCTGACTCACCTAGTGTTCCAGTAGTAAACTTCCAAAGATCTGAACCTTGATTTTAAGAAGACAATTTCCTTACAGAGATGTAGTTCAAGGCCTACTGCCAAGATCACGCCCAAAACCTAAACTGCCTCAGTCTCAGGTTTTTGCCAGGGTTCAGCTTGCATTTTCTACTCTGATCCTTTATTGCTTTAT